CGGCGTTCTACCCGGGGACGAGCTGCGGGACGAGCCTGGACTGGAATCCGCCCGCCGCGTTCGCCGCGGTGCGGGCGCCGCGTTCGCCGCGGTGCTGGCGAGTGCGCCCTCGAGGGCGGGTGGCTGCGGCGAGGTCCCCGGCGCCCGGGAGTCCCTCGGAGCTGGCTGGCCGTCGGAAGGTCACCTCGCATCTCTGGCCGGCCGCGCCGAGGTCCTTGCTCGGGCGGTGCCTGCGACCTAGGGGGAACCGCCGCCGCAGTCGCCGAGCCCCACTTCGCCCCTCTCCCCTCCTGCTCGCTCTTTCCACTCTTTTGCTCGCTCTGGAGCATTGCTTTTTAAGCATCTCCACCAGGTTTTTTTTGGTCTTATTTCCCCCGGATTTTGCTGGTTAAAGGAATGGCTTTTTCACACTGAAGTCATTGGACGCGCCGCACTGAGCTAACTATCCGCTGGTGCAGGTTCTTGCACAGCGTTAGCCCGTATTCGGGTAATCCACTAAAACCAGGTAGAGAATGTAGATGATTTTGGATGGGGAGGGGGAGGCTTCCTCCGTGATTCGTTTCTGAAAGGTTTTCAGAAGTGACAGGTAGGATTCGGATGCTTTAGATGTGTGTGAGTGGGCAGGGGTGACAGCACACAGAGGTGGCAGTGCAGTTTCAAGGTTTGGGGAGAATCTGGGAGTTAACTGGCCTTTGCTTGGAAACCTGAATGTCCAAACTGGTGCGAGCTCATCCAGGTGTCATTGAGGTAGTGCGAGAACGCCAGCGCCACGCCCTACGTTTCAAGCCGAAAAGCACCCACTTAATTTTATAAATTGTGTTTGGTGTGCGTTGGGAAAAACCTTTATAAAATGCGTGTCATAAGTTAACTGGGAATAAATTACGCTTTAATCGGATAGAAGGTTTTGTTTGTAAACTCTCAGAAGGATTCCTTTTAGCTTCTGTTTATTAATGTATCTGAATATACCTTATTAGCGTATGCTTGTCTGTTTTTATTTATGTCGTGGTGTTATAAAATGACTCTGTGACTCTTAAAATGTGTTTTAGACCGTGGATTTCTTTAGGCAGGAGCCATGTCTTGTCGTCGTGTTTCTGTGCTGTGTGCCTAGGGTGTAG